CCGTAGGACTTGATATGCGAGTGCCATCGGTTCACATGCGGGTACTTCTTGTCCACTGAGGCGATCGCCTCGAAGAGGGCGACATCCGATTGGGACGGAGTGTATCTGCGGTCGCAAAGAGATTGGGTTAACGTTGGGATCAATCATATGGTGACTGCATATGTCTGCGGATGTGTCACATGCGGTGATGTCTTACCCATCGATATAACTCCGGGACTCCAAGTGTTGGTTCAGTTTCGTGAGGCCGGCGTCGGACTTGAGGTCACCCAATGATAGAGACATGTCTTATATGGTGTGGTAATGGATCCCAAGAGTGAGACAATCTTCAGGCAAAGGGAGTGAGTGTTTGATTGAGTGATGGCTTCAATGGGAAAGAGAGACACCAATGGCTCACACGTGGACTTAAATACTGGATATGCAGTGCATTAACACATCTATAGATGGCATTAGTTGTCGGTTTGGATTAGGGTTGTTACTTTACCGGTAATATTCATTTCAATTTTACATTACAGGTAATATTCGGTAATTTACGGTAATATTCGGTAAAATTGGTAATTTTCACAAATAAATTAAATTAATGTTCAGTTCTTTATGGAATATTAATTATATACCTAATAACTATAGCTATCACTTGTAATCTAATTAAAATCTACAAAATTACTATCAGAATTACAATTAAGTTCGGAATTTTTATCATTTTTGAAACAAAAATAACAAATAAAAACAATTTTGCTTGATATTTATTATTAATAAGGTCATTATTTTGTCTCATTTATATCAATTATAATTATAAATCCAGTAATAATTATTTTTCAAAATTAAAGTTTTTTTTTTAAATAATTCAATTATTGGCATTTTGGACATGACTATTATCGAAAATTCTTTATATTTTAACAAGTCACGTGTTTGAATGTTGTAATTTACATGTAAGATTCAGAAAACATGGTAATTTACATGTAAATTACCGTAAATTACCACGGTAAAATTGTAATTTACCAAGTGTCACAACCGTAGGACTTGATATGCGAGTGCCATCGGTTCACATGCGGGTACTTCTTGTCCACTGAGGCGATCGCCTCGAAGAGGGCGACATCCGATTGGGACGGAGTGTATCTGCGGTCGCAAAGAGATTGGGGTTAACACTGGGATCAATCATATGGTGACTGCATATGTCTGCGGATGTGTCACATGCGGTGATGTCTTACCCATCGATATAACTCCGGGACTCCAAGTGTTGGTTCAGTTTCGTGAGGCCGGCGTCCGACTTGAGGTCACCCAATGATAGAGACATGTCTTATATGGTGTGGTAATGGATGCCAAGAGTGAGACAATCTTCAGGCAAAGGGAGTGAGTGTTTGATTGAGTGATGGCTTCGATGGGAAAGAGAGACACCAATGGCTCACACGTGGACTTAAATACTGGATATGCAGTGCATTAACACACCTATAGATGGCATTACTTATCAGTTTGGATACACTTTTCACTTACATTTGAGCGATCATAATGTTGTGAACAGAATATTCTGGATGTTTTAGCCCACATTGATTGGTATAATTATTGACCATGGTCATTGGTTTGATTTCCTATGTTAATTGTATTAAATAAATTGAATATCTAGTTTCGTTTAAAAATTTGTATATAGATTAAATTATTGCCTAAAACATGTAGGAATATCTTTTGTCCTAGGGTAATATTGTTGCATACAGTATTGTACCATGCTGATATAGTAATAATTTAATCGAACTTTAGAGTTTAATTTAAAATATCTATCTAGTTTATAATTAAAAGAATTTTAATATAATTTTAGTATTTTTTGTAACAATTAAAAAATAAACCGATTTTCAAAAACAATACACAAATTGGAAAAAAATTAATCCCAAAATATGTGTAAATGAAATACAATTTGTACGCAAAGAAAAAACTAATAGAAATACATTGAGATTATGTCCGGTAAAGGGAGGGGCGGACAGAGAGGCAGCGGCAGAGGTAGAGGCAGAGGGAAAGACAAAGACAAAGACAAAGACAAAGACAAAGACAAAGAGAAAGACAAAGACAACAGCAAACTCACCGACGATCAGTTGGCAGAATATATTAGCCGTGAGGCCTCTTCAAGCCGGGGCCGCAAAACGGCTGACCCGTCACCGGCCGGCACTTCAGGCAAAAGAAAAGGTGACGCCGACAGCGCATCCGTTAGCAAAAAGTCCAAAACCCCGGCCAAAGATTCGGTCGCCGGTAGAGGTAAGCGGGAGAGGCCGTCAGACCCTGAGTTGGCCCCTTCGGAGACCAAAAAGGGGAGAATCACTACAACAGAGATAACAAAAGTGCTGTCCGATGTGCCGACCGCTGGCCAACAAAAGACCACAATTAGGACCAAAGTGAGAGTGAGTGCCAAAGCCAGTGACAAAGTGGCGCAACCATTGGTCGTCGGCTCGAGCGCTCTGGACGCGATCGACCCGCACGTAAAGGTGCTCATCCAACTGGCGGGTCAGGCGGACACCACCGCCGAGGCAGTGGTCCGCACACTGTTTGCCGACGGGTATGACGTGACAAAGGCGGCCAGATTGTCTTCACACAGACGTATCCTTTACGCCCACGTCTTATACAAACTGACGGATCAAATTCAGTACTTTCTCGTCGACAAGAGTGGGTCCCAAATCAGAGCCTATCTAGAGTACGGGCCGAAGACAAAGTTAGACCGTCAGCTACTGATCGGCGTATACCGCGAGATGCGGCTCATCTACGAGAAATACAAGAGTATTGAGTTGAATAAAGGGATAAAAGTAGGAGTTGTTGGACAAAGTGATTATATTCGGAACGCCCCCTACGCCCGACAGTTGTGGGCAGACATCGCCGAAACACCGGCCAAAACGCTCACATTTGACGCAATGGATGAGTATTTATGGTATTTTGTGAACCAAATACACATCGAAGAGGCAGTATTACCGTCGGACGACCTCTATCTCAGTCACTATCTGGCCTTTGCGATGATCGTGTACGACGATCTTGGTAAGTACTGCGTTTCAGACACACCCGACAAATCCAAATTCCTCCAAAAGGGGCGCAACTTAAATGCGAAAATCCAAAATTCCCCAAATCCTCGATATAAGAACAGGACATTCAAGTTATTGCCACAGTTGGCTACACCTGGTTATAACAAAACACTGGTTTTGATCGACAAGATTAATGCCGTCAAATGAAACTATATTTCGGCTCAAATAAAGCAATAAATACAAAATCATTGCTCATTTTACTTTATACACATTCTTAAATTCACTGTTTATTTGAATACCAAATGATGTTAAACTAGAATTTAGTTAAAAGTAGTTATTTTATCCCAACTCTCTCTCTCTCTCGGCTTACGATTGTGTATACGATTGTGTATTCTGTGGGCAGAAAACTCTTATCGATTGTGTGTTAGATAGGAGTGCGCGCCACCAGTCGTTTCCACTCTCCCTATCCTTTTCCACTCACTCTCTCTGTGCCCGCAATTTATAGCAATACATCTCTCAAAGCCCTACCACTGAGTGTCCAAAAAGTTTGAGCTCTGGTTGCAATCAAATCATTGCTTTCTGTCACACAAACACCACTCATCAAAACGCTTGTTTCGTATATAACAATAAAATTTAATAATTGCTTATTAAATATAAATTATATTTATTTTGTTATCATTGAAATGACATTATATGCGCTGTGATTACGATATACTTTATATAGAGACTTAATATTGTGGTTAATATAACATATCACTTGACAGCAAAAGTAAGTTATTAATCAATTAATTAAATAACAACTAGAATAAGTAACTAAATACAACCTTTATAAATTATAAATTTATTAAAATTATTTCATATTGAATAAAGTGGATTATTTTTTGTAAATAATCTTATGTAATTGCAATTGATATAAAATTAGTTTTTATTTAATGATTTTTATCATTATTTAAACGAAACTAAATTATGGTAAATTGCATTTAAGAATGTCATTTAGTTTGGCAAATATATAACATTTTATTTATAAACCCTTTTGGGTGTGTTTATAGAAAGCTTTATAATAAATTAAAATTTTGTTATTTTCTTAATATTAAGTGTTTACTGTTATTATAGATTATATTTTACATCATATTACATTACATTTATGTTGAAATTTTTATTAACTTAAAACAAATTGCTTTTTAACATTTTCTTATTGATGTTCGCGATGTAAGACAGGAATAATTTTGTATATTTATAATTACATGTAAATGAATGTATTAAAAATCAACTCATAATTATGATAATTAAAACTAAATATAAATGTCAAACATTTAATGCAAATTTCGTTGCATTTATAAAATGCATAATTTATAGGCAGTTTTCAAATAATAAACAAGAATATAAAGAATATAAAAATTGGCAAACTTTTGACAAATTCTTCAATTATACTAATATAATACTAATTGAAAACTCATAAAAATAATATAAAAATTAAATGAATCGTAAAGTAAACGAAAGAAAATATTTAATTATATATTCTTATCGCATAGTATTCGCTGTGTCTCTCAAATTAGAGCCCAAACTGTATTATAATTCACTTTCATATATAACATAACGCAAGTATACATACAATCATTGATATTCATAGCTGACTGACTGGCAGACAAAAACGGTATAGATTATTTTGGTTTAGTTTTTTGTTATATTTATATTAATAATAAGCCTTTGCCTTAATATTGCAATTCTTTGCGCCTATTCTGGAGGACAACAGCCTTTGTCTTTCCAGTAAAGACAATAACTCTCACAAAATTTACCATATTTTCATATAACACACTCTGGTTTGCCTTAAAACACAATTTATTACAAGAATAATAAATATATATTTCTTAATCTAATGCCATAATTATTAATAATAATTTAAAAGTCATTTTGTGTAAAGCGGGCCATAAAACTGGGCATTGCTTTGATATGTTTATAGCTATAAAAATGTATGTTATGTTCAGGGAATAGCATTTAACTATAGCAACTATTTTTAACTGTCAATAGTATTACCACCACACTTAAATTATTAAAAGTATCGTCATTGCCATGTTGATCGGAGAACATATTGCAAAGTACCACATAAATTCTATATTAATTTAATTAAATTTAAGTAAATCAACTGAATATACACTATATGTAATGTAATAAGCATTAATATTAACGAGTTATAACAGTTATAAAATATTCTTAAGCATATTTTATGATTTTATAACTAACTATTTGGGGTGTTTTTCATAACTATTATAATGAATATTAGTTTCGTCTAACAAATTTATCTACAATGCAATTCTCTGGTTATGTTTAAATACCAAAGAGTTTTACATTTTAAGCAAATGTATTAAAAATACATATAATTATTTTAAAAGTGTCCATAAAATCCTTTGGACGCATGAAATGCAAGTCAAAAATAGTTATAACAAAGTTATGCGCTTTTGATAAATAAGTGAATCGCGAATATATATTACGATATAATGTAGTTTAATGGCAGAGAAAAAATATTCTGTAAACAACAAGAATATTCTGTGCAATATTTGTTGAGTTTGTGATATATTTCATATCCATATCTATGGAAAGCAAAACAATTCAATGACTTGAAAGTCGACTTCAAATGACAAACAAAAGACAAATAATTGTTTACAATTTGATTGTTTGGCCGCAGAAACCAAACCAAACAAAGCTATCAAAAAACAATTTTGACATATTTTTTCATTATTTCCCATTTAATGTGAAATAAAATTCAATAAATATAA